ATATATATATAGTGTACAGGCAGTGTTCAGCTATTTGGAATCAATCATCTAAGAGAACAGTGGTTATGAGTTGCTATTTTATGTTGATAAAGCTCAATTTCATACATTTCTTTTATTGTAAGCAGCAATCTGGAGCTTTTGTGTCAGATAATCTTTAATTGAAATGAATTTTAGCTCTTAAAACACAGTAGTGTTTGACTTACCAACATGTTTTTTTCTGTTAAAGCAGCAGCAACCTGCTGTTTTTCCTTCCAGTATTTTTTGTCATCACTTTTTCCATTAAAACAAGCTATTTTTTTGAACCTTAACTTATTGTGCAGATAAATTCTCATCCAGTATTTAAAAATTTAGCTCCTCGGTAGGTGGCACACACCACAATGTTTGTCTGTGAAGCTAGGTTCTGTTCAGTCTCTTGAAGACAGAGGAGTCGTCATAGGTCGTATTCAGACCTGATAATTTGGTCCGCTTTAAACGAACCAGAGTTCGTTTCCAGCGTTGGTCCGGACCTTTTGTGCAGGTGTGAATACACTCATGCGAACTCTGGTGAGGCTCAAACAACCGGACCGAGACCTGCTTTTTGAGGTGGTCTCGGTCCGCTTCCAAATGAACCCTGGTGCGGTTCACTTTAGTTCTCTTCTGGTGTGAATACAGACCGGACTCTACAACTGCATTAAACATGCACCTTTTTGGACTTCACAGGCCACCGTTGCTGAGCTAAATAAACTGAAAACATACCTGTTTCTTTGTCTCCTGTTAGCAGCTCTACTGCCAGCATGTTGTGGGTCAGAACACGCAGAGCAGCTCGTCTCCTTTGGGTTGCGGGACACATTTACTGACGCCGCTCCAAAATTAGAATATCATCACAGAACCACCATTAAATTAGCTGCTTCTGACATTTTAAATGCTATTGCAGTTGTACTAGCAGCAAAAATGTGTGCATCAGAACCGCAGCATGCAGGACTTCCTTGTTTTCTTCTGGATCTGTGGCTCAGTCCCGCCCCCGTCCTCTTTTTGTCCAATGGGAGCAATGATCGTCAGCCTGATGGCTTTGTTTACAGGTTATTGTTCATTTGCAAAAAAAAAAAAGCACAATGGGAATGCAAACTGCACCAAACAAAAAAAAAATAAAGTCCATTTTTGGTCCGGACCAAACAATTGGACCAAAGGACTTTCCTGGTCTGAATACACCCATTGATGAGGGAAAATCCTAACAGTGTCCAGACAGAAATTAGCACTTCATTAGGGAGGGGAGAAAAATCTTCCTTTGTTTCTGTTGGACCATGGGCTCTTTGTAAGTAACGCTGGACTCCCTCTACTGGCTTAGGTAAAATAACAATGTATCTATTGAAAATTTCATATTACGATTTGTCAATGAATATAATCTGTTTGTGCCTTAAATTTGTTTTTTGCTTAAACTCTCTTTGGGTCTATCCTGACATTTATTCTAGACACTGACCCAAAAATCTGAGTTGTGAGTCCTAAAACAGCTCGTGAAAAAGTGCAAAAAAGGTGATGATGTCCTAAATGTCACAATACTATAGTGTTTCCAAACTCAAACTAGTTCTTAAGAGTTCTCCAAAAGAATGAGACACGTATACCACACAGTAAGGTTTGTTTGTTGTAGCCTGTTTATTTACATGTGATTAGATGAGGGTTTGTAGTGAAAGCAACTGGTAAACTGTAGAAAAGAAATTTTCTCTGAGGGTTGTCAGTTTACTGACAGTTTTATGGTGGGATTTATGTTTTAACTTGTCCTCATAAAAGAGTATTTATGTGCTCACATTGAGATGAAACCTCTACGCAGTGAAATCTCTTTGCTAAAGGTGGAAAAGTGACTACAACTTGGGAATACTTTGAGTTAAGGTGGAAAAAGAAGAGTTTAACAAACATACAGATGTCCAAAGACTAAGTGGTTACTGGTAAACAGAAACACGGGTCAAAAATGCTTCTTTTGAAGTTCCTTGTGCAGTTTTCACTCCCTATTTATTTTTGTCTTCTCACTGTCTACTTTACCTTTATCTGTGTGATTTGATTATCAACAAAATTATGGCAGACTGCATACTATCTTTTTAGTAAATCTTTTTTAAAGGCATCCAGTGCTCCCATGAGTTTTATTACAAAATTCAACAATAACAAGGATGAACTTTGCTTGAACCTGAAAATCTGTCAAAGTTAAACATCATGTCTACTATATTTATGATTTGTTTGCCTTTAAACGCAGTGCTTTGACTTGAAATTGGTCTGCAGTATATCTCGCGTAACTGTGTTGATCAGTGGAGGAGTAAAAAAAAATGCGGAAACACTTTGTTAAAAATAAGTGTCAAATGTCTGCTGTGTTTTGCAGCACTGGAAGCTTTTCTCAGTGACACAGCAAACTCACTGATGTGTGTGAGATTAAAACATGCTGTTTGTGTGTGCAAATGAGAGCCGTATTCAAACATAGATCCCATATTTAATAGTACTAATAAAACTGCGTAATCACACTGACAACATGTTTATGTAACCCTGTGTTGTGTTCCCTGGATGTGATTTGTTATTTAACTATTCCGTCACCCAGAACAAAAGGTCAACGTGAAAATTAGGCGAGGAGTGAGGGAAATAAAAAAGAGTGAATTTTTTTCAGAAGGTAAATTATTTTTCTATACTTGGGACTGTTTTCTATGGTGACATTGGACAAATATATATATATATA